CCTATGTACTAGCATGGACAATTGGAAGCGAGGGAAAGAGAGTGAGTGCTTTCCACATCATCATCTCTTATATTATGTACACATCTTTATACTAGTGGTCTTCTATAAGTCCATAATGTTGTAGATGACATTAAATCATACAATGTGATTAAATGTAACTAGTTATACTCTCTTTAATTATTATTTTCATAAAACAATAATTTCCCAATTAAATACAAGTTTTGATTTAATTTATTAATAATCATATTAATTAATAAATAATCAATTAATGTTTACTTGTTATATGGTATGACCCTATTGGATCATATGTTGTGAACAGATATCATTTCATAATGATCATTGAGCATAAAGATCTTTCAAAAATCGATATACCCTATCACTACACCAATCACATCTATAAAAATGATACACCATGTATATCATAAATGTCATGTATATCATAAATGTTGAGACATATAACAAAAGGATAAGAGCAAGTATGACTTCAACTTACCAATTTCACACTCCTCCTCAAAATCACCTGAAACACTATGTCCAAACTACATAAAAGTAAAAGAACTAAAAACCAATTAGGAAGCTAGATGTCATGATCTTGACAAACGTGTTTTTGTGAAAAAAATTATTTTAATCTTGTGTTTTGCCATTTTTCAAACGGGCATTGTATCACCAAGAAAGAAATTCTAAAAATCATACCCATTCCTATCCTATAACGATCCCCAAACTTCCAAATTAGAGTCTTCTTGATGGTAGTAGAGATACAATTTCCCTAAGAAATTCATATAAACATAGGAATGATAAAAAAACTATACCATTACAATCAAAAGCAAGAAAACTTGACTATGATAGTTGATACATTCTCGTCCATTAAAACCATATCAATACTGCTCAATTCAGACGACTTCAAGTAAACATGTTGTTTTCATAAACGAACAACTCGTCCCTTGAACTTCGATCCGTCGACATCAATATTGATGTCACTAACCAAATGATACTATAAACCCATCTCAAACACTACCATAGTTCCAAAAAATATATTTGTAATTGATAGAAAATTTAACTTATTTATAAAAACAACAAACAACAGGTTACATACTAAATTACTAAGAAGGCAGCTGAACAACCAAACTAGTTACAATGCAGCTTGGGGCAACATGAACTGAATGATATGCGAACAACCAAAAATGGCCACTAAAAGATCACAAGATGCTATTAAAACTGATAAAATACAACACATAACCGCAATCAACCGAATGACCACCCCCATCGAATGCCACATCGAAAAACGAAGGCGTCCCAGAGGTTATTATTCTCAAATCAAAATCCATTAGGTAGGTCAAGTGAACTAGAAACACGTTTTTTACGACAAATCAACAAAAGTCGTCTTAATTTATATATGATATGGATAAATATTTTAACAAGTTAATGTTAGGCCCAAAAGTAGACCTGCACATTTGCAGTCCCAGACCGGTCTTGGGTCAGTCTCGAAACGGTCCGATTTTTTTTCAGATCAGTCCTGTTCGGTCTTTTTCCGATCCGGTCTTTTTTCGGACCGGTCTTTCTTTGGACCGGTCTTTTTTTGGACCGTCTCTCGGTCTTTCCATACGCTTTTTGCGGTTCGATTTACGGGTTTTTTTGTTGGATTTCAGTATTTTTAGATTCCTTTGTTTTGGTTTCGAGTTTTTTCCATTAATAAATATGAGATTATCACCAAATAATAAATTAAGATTTATTAAAAATAATAATTTAAATTTAATAAAAGAAAAAAATGAATAAATTAGATAGTTTGTGATTACAAATTGTATAATTAACACAAAAAATTATATATTTATAAAGTTTGGTTACAAGTCTATTTTTCCAGACCGATCTTAAACCGGTCCGGTATTTTTTAGGACCAGTCTCTGAACGGTCCGGTCTTTTCCGGACCGGTCCCGGACGGTCTCAAGCCGATCTTTTTTCGGTCCGGTCTTTTTTAGGACCGGTCTTTTTTTGGTCCGGTCTCGTTTTAGACCGGTTCAATCTCGGTCTTTTTTTGGGTCCGGTCCAAAACCAGTCTTTTTGTGCAGGTCTACCCAGAAGAACCCGGGGTTACAAGGAGCACCTCAATCAAAAAATTTATAGGTCCATGGTTTTATCAAGTTGATTTGGGTTTTTGTTTTCATGGGCCATGTGTAACTTTTTAAGCCCCATTACGTTTTATAGGCCAATTTCAATCAAAGTAGCTACATGCTTCGGCCCATATAAACCGAGCAAAATAGAATTTTGCAGGAGCATTCAAAACGCAATTCAAATATTCTCACGCGCGCAAACCCAATCCTTGTTCGTTCATTGGTCCGTGTTTCACACCTCGCTAATCGCGATTGGACACTGTTTCTTGCATCCGATGAATTCTTAGAGATCGAAAAATTGCACTCTGCGTATCACCGTCTTCCTTCACGGAATGTACAAAGAACCCTAGATTTTTTATTCGATATATGAATTTAGAACCTGATTCCTTTGAAGATCAACGAGGACAATTTGAGGTATACACTTTACCGAATCATTTCATTTTCTCATCTTTTTTCATAATAGGAATCGATATACAAAATTCCCGTTTTTGTATGATTTTTTAATCTTTCACCCGATCGATTCATATCAACGTGATGGACGTAGATTCGATTTTGAATGTTTCTAGAATATTACTTGTTTTTACTAAATTTGTTTATTTTTCGATTTTGGGTAGAGTATCGGAAGGGGTTTGCGTTTGTGGTTGCTCATTTTGGGTAGGTAATACTTGCATTTGAACAGTTTTTTAGGATTTGATATTATTGCATCTACATAGAAATTTATCTGTAAAAGATTCTGTAGATCATTTGGATTATGCTTTTAAATATAAGTATTGTCAGCTGTGTGACAATGAACAAGCATTTCCCCCAAAATAGCCTGTTCAATTATTCTAACATAATATTTCAGTTTGTGACTCATTAGATTCCCTTGCATATACTCTTTGTGTTGCAGGTTATGGATTTTATGGACATTGATCAGGTAGTGGAGGTTCCGGATACTCCAGAGAGACTCATAGCAGCATGTAATAATGACGAAAATACCCCTGGAAACCACAGTGATGGTTCAAGTAGTTGTCGTGTAATAACTAAGCAATCCATCAATGAAAACCCTAGAAATGAGCCACGGGAAAAGGGCAAATCCGTCAATTTCCATAGCAATCGAAGATTGTTTGTACGTCCTGATAATCATATTCATAGCAATTCTTCAGGTATTATGTTAGAAAATTCATCCACTTCCAAGAATCTTTTGACTACATTAGACAATGCACATCATGAGAAAGGAAAAAGCTTGTATAATTCCAATGTTCAAAGGTCTAATTTTCAAGAAAACAGTAGTTTTGTTGATTTAACAGAGCAAAATGGTTGTGGACATTCATCTAGAAAAGATATAAACGGTTTTTCTGAAGTAGATGCATTAGATACATCAAGCAAATCATCTGGATTAAACAACACTGACAAATTTGGTCAAAGATTTGACCATGGAAAAGGAGTGATTAGACAGAAAAAGCTTGTGAGAAATGGATACATATCTCCACATAACTTAGCAAAGTCTAAAGAGGTAACAGAGAAGAAGCATGACAATGTTGATATCATGGATTTAACCACAGAATCAAAAGCTTCACATGGTTTTAAGGGAAAAGGAGTGTCTTTTCATTCTTCTTTTTGTGAGGACACTAATGCAAAAAACAGACATTTGTCTCAAAGGTATTATTTTTATTTCTAACAATCTGCAAGATTTATGTCTTATAGTTTGTTAGAATTTCTAGATTTAATTTGAATGTTATATTGTTAAAGTGGGTGGTTCCAAATAAGGGTAATATGGTCATTTTTCATCATTCACTATAGTCAGTCAGAGATATAATCAAACAACATGGTTTCAGTCAGATGTGAACTCAATCAGAAGTTCGAACTCAGTTAGCAACTATCAAACGACCCCTAAATTTATAACTTCATGAATGAAATGCAAAAAACAAAGTAACAATTTATTCATTTATTTTCAGGACTTCTTTAATCTCAAAAGAACAAAGTAACAATTTAAGTCAAGAAGCATCTAAATCTTCCAAAGATTCAAACGGATGGATAACTACACGCAACCCTTTGACCAAAGTCAACCTCCCATTGCCAGATGGCAAAGCTGCCTCAAGTTCCACCATTAACCAAAGTATTAATACAGTGGGATGTGATGTGGAAGTGCCACGTGTCAATGACTCAGGGGAACCTTTAACTTCAAGATCAAATAGGAAGAACAAGAATAAGAACAAGAACAAGAACTCTCGTGGTGGTGGGAGCTTGGATTTGGATCCGGTTATTGAAATTGATGAGGTGTCAACTGATGAAAACCGTGGGCCCCGTTTAGATAATGAGGGTCCAGGTGTCAGGGCCTTACAGGTTGAAGCGGATGAGATGTTAGCTAGGGAATTACAAGAGCAATTGTATAATGAGGAGCTTGCAATTGCTTCTGCATTTGGAGCTCACGAGGTAACGTTTTTTAGTTTATAATTTATTTTTAGGTTGAATCAACTTTATAATTTTTTTTTTTTAAACACATAAATTAACAAGTATTAACACAGAATGATTCACACCTAGCACAGGCAACAGCAATACAGCAGGAACATAGTTCACATGCCATTCATGCTGCTGGTCGTCCTGCATATCGTCCTGCTTCTGTATGTCTCTCTCTCTCTCTCTCACACACACACACACACATAAACACACACTAACAGATCACTCAAAAAAACATTCCCTCTTTCTTTCCATTAATCCTCTGATGATGTTTGTGTATAAGGTGTGTGTGTGTGTTTAAATGGTGGAAAGAAAGAGAATAAATGCATCAAGGGTATTACAGTCATTTCATTTTTTGGAGGAACGAAACTAGCTCAAAAGGATAACCAATCCAAAACTTTAGTGGTTTGGGCATTTTCCTGAAAAAATGCAAACCATAGGGACCATTTTTGCAGTTTTGTCTATAGTTTTTCTATCTCAAAAAGTTCTGTTTCTGTTTTGGTCCTTATTTGAGGTTTTGTATAGTTTTTGGTCCATCTTCCAAAATGACTATTTTTGGTCCCTGGGCTTATCTGATTTTTGCAGTTTTGGTCCCAAAAATAGTCATTTTATATGGAACAGGGACCAAAAACTACAAATGAGCATGGCTCAGTTTGGTTTTTTACTAAAACCGAACCAAAAATATTGGTTTTTGACATTGGAAAAACCAAACCATCGTTTATTATAATTATATTTTTGGGTTTCTTTATTAAACATGTTGCTATACTTTAACAAAAAAAAAGCAAGATACTTTAATTTTTAATAGAAACCGTAAGTGCATGATAATTATTTTAATCTTTAACATGCTCAACCAATTAAATATATACATAAAATGACATCGTTTTAGATATTTCTATTTAGTTTTTTTCGTCATTTATATACGTAAAAACCAAACCAAGCTGAAAAAATCAGTTTTTTTTTTTAAAAAAACAAAAACCTCAAATAAGGACTGAACTTGTAAGAAAACTTTTTTTGGGACCAAAATTGAAAAAAAAAATCAGAGGGACCAAAAATGTAATTTACTCAAATATCTATCAGCTTGATAACTTGCATATTATTAAAATTTTGAATATTTTTAAGAAATGTGTGTATTTTGCAGAGAGGCGGCTCATCTGTATCCAACATGTATCAGAATACACGATCTAATTCCTCCCGTAACCCTTCAGCTTCAAGTCAAAGGGGCGTCCATGGTCAAAGTCAAAATCAAAATCAAAGTCAAACTTCCACCTCCACAAGATTGACTCGAATCAGAGGTCGTTTTCCTGGACGCCCTCGCACATTATCATCTCCAGGGAATTCAATATTCCCTCCAAATATGGATTTGGACATGGTATAGATTATACAACTCTCGCCCTTTCTACTTGTGTTGGAATTGAAATCTGTGATTCCGCTCTTCCTAAAACACCCTCGTATTTTTGTTGACTACAGAGAATGCAAATACTGGAAGCGCTGGAGGCCATTAACGATATAGATTTGCCGATGCCGAATGACTTGTTTCAATCAGGACGCGAATTCAATGACTTGTTACACGTAGGACGCGAATTCAACGAGTAAGATCAAATAATTAAAAATATTATATTTTTCCCTTGATTTTCTAGCTCCTTCACAAATAATATTTTAAAACGCCTTTTTACTTTCAGGAATGATTATGAAATGTTGTTGGCTCTTGATGATAACAATCACCAACATGGAGGTGCAACTCATGCTCAAATAAGTAATTTACCACAATCTACAGTTCAGGTAATTATTATTGTTACTCATTGAGGGTGTTTTTTGTCTTTTTATATCTATCCCTACTAATTATTCATGGTGCAAAATTCAGGTAGAAAATCTACAAGAATGTGCTGTTTGTCTTGAGAAGCCTACTATTGGTGAAACCATACGACATCTTCCTTGCCTTCATGGATTTCACAAAGACGTATATACCCTTACTCTGTTATGATATGATATTTATTATTTATTATGATATTTGTGCTTTGGACTAACCAACATCTTACTATGTTTCATATCACAGTGCATAGATGAATGGTTGAGAAGGAAAACATCATGCCCTATTTGCAAATCATCTGTCACTTGATTTGCTAGTTTTTGATATATGGGCTCGTGACATAATTAGATTAATGTACGATACAAGTTATACTTGAAACCATATTTTTTTTTTGGGTATTATCGGAATCAATTGTATGAATTTGTATTCCAATTGGGTCTGTATTAGGCTGTTGTGAATCTTTGAATGCCATGTTTGACCTTCATGTTTTGGTTTTGGACACAATTGTCAGCCTTTTGGTATGTATGTATATCCAAATGACAAAATTGCAAAAATGGTCCTGTGGTATGCATTTTTTCCGAGGTTTAGTTTAAATCTCGATTTTTTTTGGCTTTAGGGTCCTTTTGAGCTATTTTTGTTGTGTTTTTGGTCCCTTACAAAACTAAAAAGACTAAAATGCCTTTATGATACATTTTTTTTTATGGTTTTTTCTATTTTATTTAAACTTTTATTAATAAAAATTATAGGGCCCACCTCTCTCTCTCTCTCTCTCTCTCAACACTATCAACAACACGTATGCACCATCTCGAGAACACCTCCACCTCCATCTCCTCCACCCTAATCCCACATATCTCCTTACTTAACTCGGTGAACAATCTATTTTTTGTGTTTGTTTCTAGAATTGAAATCAATTTCTGAATCTAAAAAAGGCTTGTGGGTAATGAGTTTTCAAGCGCTCATTGGATTGTTGTTCTTCAAGGAAGGGGTATCACTCCATCCGTCACTCACTCACAATAAGCCCGGTTAGAATTCGATTTTTTTCCAGATAAGTTTTACACTTTCCCTTTGATGTTTTTGGTATTCTCTCGTTCAGATCAGTTTTACAAATCGGAGATGGTAACTTCCATGGATTGTATCTAAGTCCAACCGATGAACAACTTTAGGTCTCCGACACTTTGGTAAGCTTTAGTTGATGCGTTTTTTGGTTTTTGAGATGAAGCTTGAGGTCGTCGGAGCCACAACAAACCCTAACTCCGAGTAGGGTTTCAACAACCTATGAAGATCCGATTAGGGTTACCGCTGAATCGGAGTGAATGGAGAAGATGGGTCTTGTCGCTATCTCTCACTTCCGACGTTCCACTGCAGTCATTATCACACATCCTTCCATATATATGAACCACAAACGACGTTCTCCAGACATTTCCATCTTCAGATGAAAATATAGATGCGTGTTTGTGTGAGAAATTGAATCTAAAAACTCCATGTGTTCATATGATTTAGAAATGTGTATGTGTGTTCATCGGATATGGATGGAAGATGGAGAAGTATGTAGGGGTTTAACTTTTTTTTTTTTTTTTTTTTTTTTTTTTTTTTTTTTTTTTGAGAGAGAGAGAGAGAGGTGAGCCTTTTTTTAATTATTAAAATAAATAAATAACTATTAGATTTTTTTAAAAAAATGAAAAATAAATACCCCAAGGGTATTACAGTCATTTCAGTTCAGTTTACTGAGAGATCAAATCTGCAACGAAACTAACTCAATAGGACCACGAAACCAAAAAAGTCGAGGTTTGAAGTAAACCTCAAAAAAGATACATACCACAGGGACTATTTTTGCAGTTTTGTCTATCCAAATCTTTATGATAGTATTGGAAAATTTTATTGCATATCTATGTAGTCTTTGGTATATTATAAAATCAATTTGTGTTTCAATGATATTTTATTTTGTTAAACATTTTAGTTTTATAACATTATGTTTTATCATAGTAACTAAAAATAGTATGTAGACGTGTTAAAAGTTAAAATTATACTTTCTACATACATGTGATGTAAGAAATGCATATAAAAAAATAATATGGTTTCAACAAGCTAACTAAACATGATCGTGTACTGATATGACTTATTCAATTACTTTGGTAGTTTTGTTATTTCGTGATTCCTTTCCATCCAACCAAACAAAGTAATGAATCATTATGTATCATTATTATGTTTGGTTGCAGAGTTGGTCCTAAAGATTTAAATATAATAAAGATTTAAATATAATCAAATGCTCTGAACAAGCTAAAAAAGCTCTTATCGCTATTATATATATATATATATATATATATATATATATATATATATATATGGGTTCAACATAGAACCAATATTATTTATAGAACCATAAAACCATTTCCTTGATCATTAGATCAATTTAAGACCAAAAAGGTGTGATAATAAATGGTGTTTTTTGAACTTAAGGACTAAACTTCAGATGTGGGAGGATAAAAAATGATGTTTTTTAAAAATAAAAATTATATATATATATATATATATATATATATATATATATATATATATATATATATATAATAAAAATGGGTCTCAAAAATATATGGGCCATGTTCACCTGTAAACTTTGCCCATCTCTTAAGGCCTTCATGCTTGGTTATTAGTAATAAATGATATATATTTAGGATATCGATAAGATAACTACTACCACTTTTGTTAGAGTGGAATAGCTCACTTTGCCCCTCTACTATTTGCTTAGAGTGGAATAGCTCACTTTGTTAAACACTCAATATAATAACATGCGGACCCTTTGGATCCGTGTGTTGGTTTTTGACCCAACTATATATTCAACACGATAAAATGTAGATGGAGATATGATTCATTTTTACACGCACTCACTTTATCTCTCTCTCTCTCTCACACACACACACACACTCTCTCTCTCTCTCTTGTTATTTTCTCCATCCATGTTACCCTCAAATAGAGTTTTTTAGTGTTTGAGTTTCGCCCTTGTAACTGTCTTGTGTAAGAGTGGAGAAAGAGTCTATATCGAGGTTTACTTGTATTAGTTTTGGTGTACAAACGTTCTAATTCATAGTGAACAAATTGAACATGTTGGGAAAATTGTGAGTTTGTCATTTTCTACATGGTATCAGAGCTAGTAGTTGCCCCGGTCGTTATTTTCCACTGAACAGCGACACATCGAAAGCTCCTTCGTACATAAGGTTAGGGCTTCTGACCTTTCTTTTTCTTTATCTGTTGTGTTTACTTGTAGATGTGACATAGATTGTTTCAATCTAAGGGTTCATTGTGAGATTCTTTATAGATCTGAAACTGATTGTGTGGATCTAGGTTTCTCATTTTCTCGATCTGATTGATCGTGTAACGTCCCAAAAATTATGAGGTAAAAATTTCATTTTTAATTCAACCAAAACATTAACTATATTTAAGTCAAACATTCATTATCCTTTTTCTAAATATTCAAAAGTACTTTATAAGAAATCAGTTATCAGAGTACAGTCCCAAAATCATCATAGTGCGGAAACATGGGTGGATGCGATGCGATCAAGTCGGGCCCCTTCTTTTCAAACTCCAAGTACCTGAAACAAAAACTGAAAACCGTAAACATGAAGCTTAGTGAGTTCCCCAAAATACTACATACTAAACATACATACTGCCAGACATATGTGGGTGCCTTCCTACCCTTTGGTATATTTCGACCAGATACTAACAAGCATATTTGGGTGGTTGCCTACCCCTTCGGTCTATTTCAACCTTATACTATCAAGCATATATGGGTGCTTGCAATCCCCTTCGGTCTATTTCAACCGGATACTATCAAGCATATCTGGGTGCTTGCAATCCCCTTCGGTTTATTTCAACCGGATACCAGGTCTGTTTCACCCCTACTACTACCACATAATATCATAACAAAATCACATAATCATCAAGCAAATACAATCATAACTGACAATTGTCACAAAGACAGTCATCACACTACATCATAAAGTAGTGGGCCGACATTGGTGCCTTCGACCCACGAATACTGTGAATGAAGATTCACCTCAAACCGCTGATAACCAACTAACTGCTCAGTCGCTGAACCAGATAACCTCGCACCAACTGACAAAAATACCATCTTAATTAATAATTAATCCAATAACCCAAAAATCTGAGGCCCACTCCATAATCCAACTTCCTAAAGGGTGAAAGACCATTTTACCCTTTTCTTACTTGGCCCAAAACCAAGATCAAACCCCTTAGCACCAAAAAGCCCAAATCTCTAAATGGTAACCCAAAGCCCAATATGGCCCAACCCTTAAAAATCCCAAAATGTCCATCCTGGGAGTACGTCATGCATACCAGAGACGTACGCCCGACGTACTCAGCCATGAAGCACAACATACAAGCGATCGATGCCGAATTCCAGCATTACACTAAGCGTACCTCCACGTACGCCCAACGTACTCGTCAGGGACCCAAAAATCAACATTAAGCTCCTAATGGTTAAGACAATGACTTCCAAACTCAGATATAACCCTAATGAGATGTCTTAACATGTAAAGTTGGCAACGTTACCCCCTTTTCATGGCTTAATAGGACCAAAACCTTAATACAAACCATAAGAAGCACCCAAACTCATGCATGGTCCAACACAACTCATCAAGATGACATTTTTATGAACAAGGGACCTCACAAATGCCAATATACAACATTCTAAGCTCTTGGAGTAGCTTATACTCACAAGGATGACTCTAACGATCACAATGAACCCAAAATACTCCTTAAACTAGATCTGACTGTAACATCCTGAGATTTTGCAGCTATTCCAAACCCTATTCTATCATTACTTTGTCATTTATAGTCCTTGGGGTTGGAAGTGAAGAGCCAAGATAAGTTTAAGGGCCAAGTTTGCAAACTTGGGCCAAGAAGGAGTACGCTGCGCGTACATAATTGTACGCTAAGTGTACTAAGGTCAGCCTTAGTACGTTGGGCGTACACTTGTGTACGCGGGGCGTACTAATGTCAAGGTGAAACCCTAATATTTAGGGTTTGGGGCCTATATAAGCAACATTATGAGCACCAAACCTTCCCTTACCTCAGCCTCCATTGATTATAGTCGTCTTCCCTAAACCCTAGCATTTCCTTTGTGTGTTTGAGCTTATTGAGTGTTTTCTTGAGTGCTTTAAGAGGACGATATTGCATCAAAGAGCTGGAGAAGAAGATCAAGCTTGTTGATATGAAGTTAGCTTGTGCCCTAGAAGCTCCAGAAGGTATAAAGCTCCAAACTTTATGCATATATGTATAGATCTTTCCATTTTGCTTTAAAAGAACCATTTCTTGTCCCAAAAAGCCATAAGGGGGTGCATGATGTGATTTGGACGAAAATAACTGTCCTTCTAGACTCTTGAAGGGACCTTGAGTGATAAAAATGAGGTCCCACTAGCTGAATGTGTCCCATGCATGGAAAAAGAAGGTCTTAAT